CATGCATGCATGCACTCGCACACACATACATGACTCTCTCCATGGGAACAGAGCCATCATGAACCGAGCATCTGCTCAAACATGACTCATTTGACTGTGAGGTGAAGTTGACTCGTGACGTGCAATCACCACCTTTAAGGATACGCCAGAAACACTGTGTCCTGTCATTAAATAATAAGACCAGAAATATAAAGTGTCATTTTTTTAAAGCAGGCTGACGTTATTTTTTTTTTAGATAAAGTACAAAATTGTCCCAAAGCATTCAAATCTATCACAGATTACAGAGAGGTGTATATATATAGCATGGTTCACAGTGAGAATACTAAGAATACTAAATGATTAAATAAATAATTTTCTGAGAAGGAAATTACTCATGGACCTGCTGGGCTTTACCCTTCATGCCCCGTGCTTCCCTTCTTTTAAAATGGCCCCCGTTATTAATGCACCACTATGAGCCCAGATGTCCTTGGGTAAGAGAGAGAGAGAGAGATGTCTTCCACCGGAGAAAAGTGTGATTGTGGTTGTGTGAAATAAATTACTTGGTGATGTGTGTGAAAAGGTGAAGCTGAGGTTGGGTGAGCGTGTGTGTGTGTGTGTGTGTGTTAATCTCATATAACTCCGGTGACTCCACAGCATTCCTCCTTTTATGGGCTGTTCGTCTCTACAGAGAGTGCATAAAGTCTACAATAAAGAAACGCTGCAACACTCCGTGCACAACAATGAGGATTTTCCATCTCTCATGAAGCAGATGCTGCACACTTAACATCAGACAAAGCTACACGGCTAATGAGCAATTAGTGAAGCACGGGGCTATGGGGTCAATGCAGTATTTTAGGATGTGCAATCTGTTCCCATCTACATATAAACCAGTATGACATTGTTGCTTTAGCTCCATTTATTTATGGAGATTTTTTTTATGTTGAGATTTTATACAATCACAGATATAAGGCTTACACAGTCCTGTCCTCTACTGTTCATACTGAGAAGATTTAAACTGGTCAGCTTTGAGAGATTTGCTGAGTATAGCAAGGAAGCTATTCCTTTAAAGAGACAGTTCAAGCCAAAACCAAACACACATATTTTTACTCCTACCTGTAATGGTTGTGATCAGTCTAGCTTGTTTTGGTGTGAGCTGCCAAGTGTTGGAGATATCAGCCATAAAGATGTCTGCCTTCTTTTGAATATAATGGAACTAGATGGCACTCTGCTTGTGGTGCTCAAAGTGCCAGAAAAATACATTTAAGAAACTCAACAGCAATGTGTCTGCCCAGAGATCATGACCCAGTTACTCACGATTATCCACAGACCTTGCGTAGGCGCCCTTTATCAGTGATAAGTTTGTTTTATTGTTAGATGGTATGACTTGCTACAATACAGAGAGAAATATGTTTTTGTTAAACATGTGAGGTTACTTTGTCACTATATATTTTGACCTCTATGAATCTTTACATTGGTCCTGTGCGGCTGCCATACATATGTGACAAATGAACAGGAAGTGAAACCTTTATTGTGAAATGTTCAGTTTGACAACGGTTGTTTTACCCTTAGTTCGTTGGTGTTGCTACCGAGCCGACTCAATGCGTAAAGCAGTCTCCTGTCGTCATTAGGATGTGGTTATTTACAGAAGTGAATTAAGACGAAGTTAGCCACTACACCTTGTTGTGGACAGTTTCTTTCTACCAAACTCCACCTGCAAACTGTATCACCCCACAGAAGGAAGCGTGCATCTACTCACGGGTGAGAGGCTCATGCTCGTGACAGCACAAGATGTAAACATAAATGGCGTCCTCCTCGGCTGAGCTGTAACTTTAGCTAGCTAAGTGCTGCTAGGTAAGCTAGCAGTAGATGCACGCTTGCCTCTGTTGTCAGGTGTAGTTCAGTCTCTACTACTTAGCAACTCACACCAAAACAATCTAGATTAATAAATAGCACTACAGGTAAGAGGAAAAATGTGTATTTTTGATTTTGTGGTGAACTGTCCCTTTTTACGTGGCTATATGATTTAGGGTAGTGTTGCAAATCAGTGAGCAAGACTGCTTTAGCCTACATTGTATTTTTATATAAATTTGCAACTTTTTTGATTTTGATAACAAACTGGGTTGTTTTGTATGTAGTTTGTTGGATTAGCTAAAAATAGCATTACTGTCTGGTTATTTTATCCTTCAATTATTAAATTTCCATATATAACAATATTGATATCACTGAATAAAATTATGTACTACCCACTTTTAACTATCCTGAGTAATGACACTGAGAAAAGAGCGACCGACTGTACATATTGTGTACAGTAAATACCATTAAAAGAATATCTCAACATTTTGAAAAATACAGCACACCTCCTTTGATTAACACGTTATATCTTGTTTGTTTAATCCATACAAAAAACAAAGAGTAACAATTATAACTTGAGAACTGGGACCAGTTGCATCCAGAGGAGACTCCAGGAGGTTAATGGTTCCAGTCAAGCAGTAGTCCAGCAAATAACCCCTTATAAAATGGATTTTGTTACCTTTGGACAGAACCAAGCTAGCCATTAGTCCCTGTTTACAACTGGCTACCTTCCAGATATGAGAATGGCATCGATCTTCTCATCTCATTTTTGGAAAGCAAGCCAATAAGCATACTTTGCAGAAATTCAAACCATTCCTCTAACGCTGATATCCATTCTGCCAATCTCCTGTCTGATTCCCTTAAATCCCTGGTTCCATCCCTTAATCCCTGTGACCCCCTCTTCATGTGTTGGGGTGGGGGTACCGCGATGGTCTGGTTGGAGGATGCGTGTAAGTAGCCAGATTGCTGGGACGCTACCTCGGTGAGTCTGGGCCTGGATTACAGGGTCGTGGCATGGGAACAGAGGGGTTGATAGGAGCCTTCTGCCACTGGGAGTCTGGGGAGAATGACTGTGTGCGTGTGTGTGTGTGTGTGTGTGTGTTGGAGGGATAGGGGTGTGTGTAATGTTGAGGAACAGACGGCAGGAGACCACAGAGACAGCTCACTCTGAGCCTGGAGCTGACTGAATAACATCAGGAGTAAAACTGAGTGATGAAGATTGTAAAAAAATCAATTTAGATGTATTCACTGCATATCTTCACACTCAGCCACGCCTCTTTATGCATGCACACTGAGAGCCACATAACAGTATGCATATTTACAGATATAAAAGCTCTCGTGCACTCTTGCCTCACGCACACAGAGGCATTTGAGGCTGTAGTGGAACATCTGCAGGGAGAGACGGGGCTTTGCTAATGGGTGACAATAGACTCATCACACAGAATTAGCACAATCTGTGCAGCCATCTAATGCCCCGTGTGGGCTGCTGTCTACTTCCAGTCTGATCAACTGAGCTCCTGATTAAAACTGAGGAGTGTGTTAACAGCTGAACACGAGCTCCTGCAATCATTTCTTCGTTTTATTTAATCCTAAAACATGATGAAACTTCCGGTAACTTTTATTTTTTGATCTGCAAGCGCCGCTCTTCAGGAATAACATCACTGCTTTGCTTTAATCATCTAAACAAGCCTTTCAAATGTCAGCGTGACATTAACGATAATATAAATGACTAATGGCAAAAATTAGAAAGTAGCTAAAAATACAGGCTCCAGTGTATCACAGTATTGGCTTCCAGCTGTTAAATGTGTCTTCACTCCTGTCCGCTCAAACTGCCATCTGAGTTATTCACGTCCAACATGAAATTAAGAGTTTGCAAGAGCATGCAATTAAATTTAATATCTACAAACGCTGACCTTCAAGAGATACGCCATTATTAGCATCATTATTCTCTCCAATTTCAGTGACAATTGCTTATAAAGAGGAGGGATGATCCAAAGTGGGAGCTGTGACTAAGGCCATTTGGGTACTGGGTGAACTGGAGAACACTGTGAGGAGAGAGCAGTGTGTGTGTGTGTGTGTGTGTGTGAGACTCAGCCAGGCTCCGGGTGTCCTGCTGTGTGAGGCCTGAGGCTGACTGTCACTGTTACTGTGACTCACCCTGAGAAAGAAGACAACCTCCCTCCGACCCCGGTGCTCCCAGCTAACACCGGAAATAAAAATCACCAAGAGCCTTTGAGTTAGCGGGAGGCTGCAGGGACAGATCTGTCCATATCTTTGACCATCAACATCCCACTGGTGACCTATGGGAACCACTCTGATGGCTTTCAAACTCACAGAGAGTCTCAGCTCTTGAAAGTGAAATCAAATGGGACTAGATGACTGGGATGGGTTGAGGAAGCCTCTGAGTAACCTTGAACTGGATAGCTCCTCATGCATTAGGCCCTACATCTATAAATGACACATGATTCAGCACTAGAAAGGGGAAGACGTGATTTATTTCGTCACAGGTTGCCCGCAATAGAAGATAAATGCGTTTAGAGGGCGCCGGGGTCATGGCGTGCAGCTGCTGGTAGGAGCGGATTTCCGCCAAGGCGCACTTAACGATTGCATAACGTGGTGCGCTTCGGAGTTCCCACTGTGGTTGGCTGACAGAAAACACTGATTTAAAACCCGTCCTCCATTAATTGCTACAACTTGCGCATTACAAGTGTGAGTGGCTGCTATGAGCTGCAGCTCCGGTGCTTTTGCTGCGCGGAATGTCATCTGAAGGGTACCGAGAGGAACTGACGTCCCCGACATCACTACCACCACATTGTCGTGCCACCTGCCTCCCACACTGCCACACAAACACGACTTATACTAATAATTACCGCGTCCTCGTGTTATGCATCAAATAAAAGCAAAACACGACAGATGCTGCGGTGCAAAACACCAGTAATAAATTATTCTACTGGTGCAGCGCTGCAGCATCTTTACAGTGGAGCACATTTCAGCACCAGGACAGCGACATGTGTGATTCAGAGGAACAGATGGAGCACAGCTACAACACACTGCTGCATCTGAGCAGCATGAGGTGCTCATTTAACACCAATCTACAAACACCATTTCACCGTCCTCCACCAACATGACACCTCAACATGCAGATCTGAGATGTGGTGCATCCCTCTTACCTGAGTGGCTTTGTGGAATTGCTTCTTGAGCCCCGCTACAGACATGGTTGCTACACGGTGGTTCTAGCTGGGAGGATGGACTTGATGCTGCAGGTGAGTGAAGGAGGAAATCTCGGTCCTAATTGTATCTGGTGGTGATCTTGCAGCCGTGGCTAACTCCTGTCTACACTGGTCTTCGGCAGAGGGATCTCCTGTAAGAAAGGGGCTGATTATAGCGCCGATCAGGCCATTGGATGTCAGAGCCACATGTCTAAAACGGTGCTGACGTCGGAGGCTGCTCCTCTTAAAGCAGCCGCCTCAGTACATTGGATGGACACTCTTAGAGAAGGCTGTGTGTGTGTTTCTAATCTAATATCGTTTAGTAGAAAGAACAGTCTGGACAGAGGACAATCTTGGGGACAAGGACAATGACTTTGTTGAGACCAGTGGTGGAATGTGAACAAAAACATTTATCCAAGTACACTTAAAGGTCCAGTGTGTAGGATTTATGGGGATGTATTGGCAGAAATTGAATACAATATAATCAGTGTGTTTTCTTTAGTGTATAATTACCTGAAAATAAGAATTGCTGTGTTTTTGTTACATCAGAATGACCTCTTTATATCTATATGGGTAGCAGGTCCTTGACAGAGATTGCCGTGTTGCCCCACCATGTTTCTACAGTAGCCCAGAGTGAACAAACCAAACACTGGCTGTAGACAGAACCATCGGCATTTTTTTAATAGATTGTATTTCTCAGTTTTTAACACTAATAATACAAAAACAGACATAATACAGAACAAACAAAAACAAAACACAACCACACTGCCAGCTAAAGAAAAAACAGTTTAATTACACGCCAGTTCATTAAGTGTCCACAGGAAGGTCGAGGCAGAGAAATAGCGGCCATGGGATAAAGACAGTGATCAGGGAAGGTCCAATGGACACAGTGTACAGTCAAATGCAAGGGAGTGGTCCAATGTGGTTAATAACCTTGAGTCCTCATCCTTTTGATGTGTTCAATAAAAGGTCCACAAGTTTTAGAAAACTTGATGAGGGAGTTAGACAGAGTGTGTCACATGTCATTTAGACATTTTGTAAAGCAAGGAGGGGAGGCAGATTTCCATCCAAAGTTATCAGAGAAAAAAGGTGAGCACACATAAGCAGGTGCTATGCCAGTGGCCAGACAGTGACATGCCAAACAATGTCAGAGAAACACTGATTTGTAACGTGAGACTGTTTTATTCAGTGTTTTTACTGGTTTAAACACCTGGTCTGTTTGTTTTGAAGAAGAAGAAGAAGAGACCTCTTGGATAATTCGGCTGCTGCTAAAATCCTCCTGAACAATGGACACTACAGGAATCTTAACTAGGAGTTCACACTTGACACATGGGAGAAGTTTCAGCTGGCTGCAATCTGTAATCCGCAGCGTTAGATGACACTACAGTAAATCCTAAACACTGCGCCTTTAAGTGCAAATTTGAGGTGCTACTTCAGTATTTCCACTTTAACTATAGGCTGGCTACCCCACTACATCTCAGAGGCATTCATTCATTCATTTTCCATTACTGCACATTACTGGGGGTGCTGGAGCCTATCCCAGGAGACAGACAACCAATGACACTCACATTCACACCTACGGACAATTCAGAGTCACCAACTAACCTGCATGTCTTTGGACTGTGGGAGGAAGCTGGAGTACCTGGAGAAAACCCACGCTGACACAGGGAGAACAGGCAAACTCTGCAACTCCGACACGTACATACTTTACGGTTCTGAAAGCAGGACTTAACATGTAGTGGAGTATTTTCAGTGTATTAAGTTGTGCTTGGACCAGTAAAGGATCTGAACTCTTCTTCCACCGCTGGTTTAGACTCAATGATAATTTGGCGGTGGGATGAAATGATACAGAGAAAAGTAAAACATAACAATTAATATCAAGGTTGGTAGATCAGCTTTGTTAGTTACAGAATACAGACTGCCGTTCTCAGTGGTGCTGCTGGAGGTATCATTGTCTTTACTTAAAATTAGATGAGTGGGTTGAACACTGCCATCACCTTGGAGATAAAGATAGAAATACTACTATATCACTTGGATATGTAATTAGTTTCAGCGCCTGCCTCTCTAATGCAACTCAATGACTTGTAAAGAGAAGCAGCAGCTCCCACTTCAGCACCCTGGACAGCACCCATCCACACAGAGACAGTCGTCCCCACTACAGACTCAACTCTCCTTCTCTTCCATCAGTGAAATTGGCCCTACATGGAGAAATAGAATAATGGATGAACACACCGTGGGTCCAGGTGCAAAACTGCTGATTTACAGACAAAAAAAGATCAGACACTGGTGTTAATAAAAGATTAGAGAGCCGTGAAAATGTGCATATCTACACAAACCTGAGAGAGCTGAGAGAAATACAGTGGTGTGGTTGAATTCAAATAGTTTAACAAAAATGGATTTATGCGACTTTGTTTCTCAACAAAAATTAATAAGACAACATTTATATTTTATTGTAGATTTATAGGGCTGGGAAACGTATTGATATTATATTGATATCATGACATGAGACTTCAAATTATCTTAGATTTTCGATATATTAATATTGTTACGTGTCGTCTTTTCCTGGTTTAAAGGATGATTACAATAAAGTAATGTCATTTTCTGACCTTACCAGACTGTTCTAGCTGTCCTATTATTTGCCTTTAACCACTAAAACATTATATCCACATTACCGATGACTATTTATTAAAAATCTCATTGTGTACATATTTTGTGAAAGCACCAACAGTCAATCCTACAACACTGTCGCAGTATTGATCTCCAGGTATTTGGTAAAAATGTCATGATATTTGATTTTCTCCATATCGCACAGCCCAAGCTTTGAAGAAGGTTAATATCCTCCATTGATAAAAACTGAATTTATGTCAAGATTGAAAGTTCATTTTTGCCCCCAGATACAGCAATTGACATTACAGCTTCTCCACAGGGAGCACAAGTAGACGTTCTGGAGCTTTCTATCTCATGAGTTTGCAGTTATGATCAAGTTTTACAACCCAAACTCCAAAAAAGTTGTGATGCTGTGTAAAACTAAAATAAAAACAGAATGCAATGATTTACAAATCTGCTTTGAGCTATATTAAATTGAATACAATATGAAGAAAAGATAATAGTGTTCAGACTAATAAACTTTATTGTTTTTTGAAAACATACAGGGGGGCAACAAAAAAACTGGGAAAATTTTTGGATGCTCAAAAACAGCAGTTTGGAACATTTCTCAGGTTAACAGGTTAATCTGTCACAGCTTACAGTATCATGAGTGGGTTTGAAAGACTCATCCTCGATAGGCTCAGTTGTTCACAAGCAAGGATGGTCAGTTTGTGTAAAACTGTGTGGGCAAACAGTCTCAACGAATAACTGCAAGGACTTTATGGATTTTACCATCTACAGTCCATAATATCATCACAAGATTCAGAGAAATCTCTACATGTAAGGGGCAAGGCTGGAAACCAGCATTGAATTCCTGTGCCCTTTGACCCCTCAGGCTGCACTGCATTAAAAGCCAACATAATTATATAAAGGATATCACTACATGGGCTCAGGAACACTTTGGAAAACCATTGTCAGTAAAGACAGTTTGTCGCTGCTTCTACAGATGCAAAGTGAAAGCCATTTATCAACAACACCCAGAAACGCCGCTGACTTCTCTGGGCCTGAGCTTATCTGAGATGGACTGACACAAAGTGGAAAAGCGTGTTGTGGCCTGATGAGTCCACATTTACAATTGTTTTTGGAATCATGGACGTCATGTCGTCTGGCCTGAAGAAGAAAAGGACCATCCAGACTGTTACCAACGCACAGTTCAAAAGCTGTGTTGGTATGGGGGTGTGTTAGTGCCCATGGCATCATGGCTAACTTGCATCTGTGAAAGCACTGTAAATGTTATGGGGTGCACACAGGTTTTGGTGCAACATATGCTGCCATACAGACGATGCCTTTCTCAGGGATATCCTTGCTTATTTCAGCATGATAATGGCAAGCCACATTCTTTGCATGTTACAACAGTGTGGCTTTTTTAGTAAACATGCACGGGTACTAAATTGGGCTGCCTGCAGTCCCGACCTGTCTCACCTCAAAAATATGTGGTACATTATGAAGTGCAAAATATGACAGATCTCAGACTGTTGAGCAGCTGAAGTTGTATATCAAGCAAGAATTGGAAACTTTCAAAACAGCAATTAGTGTCCTCAGTTTCCAAACACTTGTAAGGGGATGTTAAACAGCAGTAAACATGCCCTGTCCCAACCTTTTTGGAACATGTTTCAGGCATCATATTCAGAATGAGACAGTGTGGACAATAATATTCTCATCTTGGTTCTAACTGTCCAACTCATATGTGAGACTGAATACATGAACATATATACCAGTAGTCATGAACTAGTGCTATCTCCCTCTAGTGTCAATAATCAGTCAACAAAAAAATACTCTGGCTGATATTACGGCACTATATTTTGATGCTAAGGGCAAAAACCTGGATTGTTTCAAACTAAAGTAAATATGAATGTGTCAGTATTGATTGACAGATAATAGTGGATGTGGGTTTTAAAGTGACCCATGACAGAACAATAGATATAGAGATGTGGGGCAGTAACAAAACATGCACATTTCCTCTGTTGTGCATTTTTAGCTGGGATTTATTGCTCCCCTTTTTCAGCCACTCAGACCCAATCTGGTCATCACCATATTCTTTGGCTGATAAGATTAAAAGCCTGCATGAATCTGCCGCACTAATGCCAGTAATGGCTCTGAATTAAAGCTAAGAAGTCACCTGCACTCATTTAACAGCTCAGAGGCAGCCTCCTCGATGCCAGATGGCTGGTCGATTGTGGTAGGACTACTTGGGCAGACGCAGTCAGAGACGCATCCCATATGGCCACTGTTACAGCCCTGCAATAAGACTCGCAGTGACGATCACCAAATGGGCTATAACAAAAAATGCTGCATATTCGAAGATGCTTCTGTGTAGGATATTAACTATAATCAGCCAATGACAGATTACAGCCTTTAGGGTATAGTAGAGTTGTAAAATGTTATCTTTATTACCTTTATCTTTTCCATCTTCATCTCACACATTATAAAAGCCATTAAATACAGCTCATGTCTTTTGATCTCCAGAAGTAATTGCTTAGGGTTGAAATGCAAACACAGCATAAGTACACACTAATAAATTACTATAATTAATGTGT